TGCTAATAACGATCAAAATAACGTCGCAGTTATTTTGGGCCCTTATATGTCATATTTTTTAAAAATTAGGCCCTTGGGTGTAATTATTTTTAATTTGGGCCCGTATTTGTAATTATTTTCACTTTCCGGGCCCTTATTTGTAAATTCCCCTAATATTTATTTTATAGTATTCAACTGGTCTCAAGCAAAAAACTTGAAAAGGTATACTATTCATTAGTGTGAATTATTGATATGCTTGATAGCAATGCTAACATTTGCACTACTATAGATACAGAAATAGCTAATCATATATACAGACTAACAAGCAAATTCAGAAGCATTCAATACCAGATTTTGCAAAGACCTAAATATAAATAATATAATAGTAAGCATGTATATAGTGCAAATCCATGAAAACTATTCAATCAAGTTGAAGCATATTCCTGAAAAGAGTAACACAAATACAGATTTATTATCACAAAATGGGCACAAACAGTACAGAATACAAAATCCACTAGCATACTACCTACAACCTATAATTCTAATTGAATATGCTAAACTAATAAACACACTTCCATCACTTAACCTTTAGGTTCAGGTAACACCAAAGTATTAGATAAAATAAACAAGACACTGTGGCAATGAAAAATGCGGACAACCAATAGCTTTATTAAGAGACCACCACTAAATGAACAAGCTGCAACAATGTCAGAACTAAACTCACCAAGATACCGCACATATTCAGCTATTATTAAACATTATGAAAAATTGACCACAGAAAATAAGTGGTTAAATAATAATAGAACTACATGGCCCGTATCAAAAAAAGTCTTGCCAAATTTATTACATAAATGTATCCAAAAATCACATCTGCAACTATTATATCATATTTGTCCGCTCTAAAACATCACTATACAATGAACCATGTAAAATGGAATCAGATACATAACAACCCACTAATCAGACAACTGTTAAAGACAATAGATGATAATCACACTTTTAAACTAACTAGCAAAAAGAGCATATTATATGAGACCAATTACGGCAAATAAAGGCAAGCTTGAACCTGAGAGACTCTGATAGTCTATTGTTCTGGACAATAGCACTTGTAGCATTTTACAGTTTAGCCTGTCTAGGAGAACTTCTATCAAAATCGCACCAGGATACAACAAGGATACCTACAATTCAGGCCTTAAGATTTGAGAAGACAGTCCAACTACCCAGGACAAAGAATCATAAGATAGTCGAATGGCCAATATTAATAATTAACCCTACAAAGGATGATCTATGCCCAATTTACGCGTTGAAAGCATATACGATTCTCAGAACCAATATAGCCTATACTCTGGGGAAGGGTACACTTTTTATCAAGGCTGGTGGAATCTTGGCTACCAAAAACTGGTTCATAAGCAACCTCAAGTCATACTTACCAGATGCTAATGTCACTTGCCACAGCTTTTGTGCTGGGGTACAACGGATTGGTATTGTGGGGCATACAACTACCATTGGTTCAAAACTTAGACAGATAGTCATCAGATACATTCTATAAATATATTCGGACATGCCCCGCAATAGTGGCTGCCATTCTATGCAGAGCATATTCCAACTAACGATCATCATACAATCTTTGGAACCCGATCGCAATTGGAATAATAAAAAATAAATAAATAAATAAATAAATAAATAAATAAATAAATAAAAGAGGGAAAGAGATTGGAAATAATAATAGATAAATATGTATGCGAATAAATATATATATATAAATAAAGGGATTACATACAATGGAGAGTAATGATACGAGACGTATATTCATATCTAACTTAGCAGCATGACGGAGTGAACAGAGCAATAATCATACATGGGTGGCATATCGTGTATACGTCGTATAACTAGACAGCTGTGACAAGGTTAATGTCAGAAAATAAATAAATGACGATGAATAGATGATGAAGAGCAAAGTATATACTAGGGCCAAAATGGCAGAATTCTGAATTTTGGAATCCACGTGGAATCCTGCCATTTTGTGGTAGCTTAAACTTCACATCAAAAGTCAGCCTGCCATGTGCAGGTGGGAAAACTACTAACTAATGCTACGCATTGCGAATTCAACTGATGATGGTGATACTTGGCTGCAAATATGCTATTTTCTGGGAGCATATCCCGTCTCAGCTTATACATCAATTGCACTGATGTATGCTGCTTATTCTTAATAAAGATCATGC